ACCGCGAAGGGGGCTCTTGCGTAGATGAGGGAGGGTGGTTTTCACCGCGGTAACGAGAGAAAAGAAGTTGACGTCAAAATGTTTTTTCCATAATGGAAGAGGAGTGTTGTCTCCAATGCGACACAGGGGTTCCAGAGTTCCAGCATTGAGAACAACAGCATCGATACTCCCATAAGTGTCTACTGCAACCGACACAGCTGAGGTAAGGGATTGTTCATCTGCACTAGGATATTATTGAAAACTTCGGGGATAGGAATTCCATCACGTAGAGAGCCTACATGTCACATTGGATATGCAAAAGCGCCTCGGATTTCAAGGCGTTTAGTTCGGGGGTTGGCGCCCTTGAGATCGCGACGACATTTGCCTGGAACTTATCGAGGAGGTACTGAGTGACAGCAAGGCCAATGCCTCTGGTGCATGGTTAGCATTGTGTTATTCGGGAGTTTGTGAATATTTCGCACTTGGAGGCGCCAGTAACAAGGACGGTAGGTTTTGTGGAAGCCATAATGATAAGGAAGTGGTTAGTCCGGCCCGATTGGCGAACGGATGAGCGCGGAGCTAGAACAGGTCACGCATCCCCAAATTGTTACGCTATTTGTCACCTTGGCCGTCCACCAACTCAGGGTTTTGATTTTCTACTTTTCCTCACTTCCTCCATCTTCCCCTTCCTCCCGAAAACCATGGTTTCTCGCCTGGCCTTTGCCCGTCTCGCACCTGCTCTCCATAGGGCATCCACCTCGGCTGCCTCGCGGCGTGTCCTGCCTGCCATCCGCACTTATGCCACGGCAGAATCAGACCATTCGGTATATACTTTACTTTGCCTTCTCTGCTTTGTCCTCATGTCTCCTTGAAAAGATGACGGTCCGCGAGGCACTCAATATGGCCATGGAGGAGGAGATGATTCGGGACGAGAAAGTTTTCATCCTTGGCGAGGAAGTTGCACGATACAACGGTGCATACAAGGTAACTTCGTCATTCGTACAGCTGGCACTTGCGGAAGTTCTGAAACCAGCCTAGGTGACGAAAGGCCTTATGGACAAGTTTGGCGAGAAGCGTGTAGTTGACACTCCGATCACTGAGATGGGCTTCGCTGGCATTGCTGTTGGTGCAGCTCTTCAAGGACTCCGACCCATGTACGTCTAACTCGGCGCCTAAATCACGCATACATTTACGTCTATTATTAGTTGCGAGTTCATGACCTTCAACTTTGCCATGCAGGCAATTGACCAGATCGTCAACTCAGCCGGCAAGACATATTATATGTCTGGTGGCAATGTTCCTTGTCCCGTTGTTTTCCGTGGTCCTAACGGCGCTGCCTCTGGTGTTGCTGCACAGCACTCACAAGACTATGCAGCATGGTATGGCTCCATCCCTGGCCTCAAGGTTGTCAGCCCCTGGAGTGCTGAGGACTGTAAAGGACTGCTGAAGGTACGCATTATTTTCAACCAGGAGGGTAGCACAATACTCAAATGAATAGGCTGCCATTCGAGACCCCAACCCCGTCGTCTTCCTTGAGAATGAGATGATGTATGGTGTCTCTTTCCCCATGTCCCAGGATGCTATGTCGGACAACTTCCTCCTCCCTATTGGTAAAGCCAAGGTTGAGCGGGAAGGCAGTGACGTTACCATTGTCGCTCACAGCAAGATGGTCACTCACAGTATAGAGGCGGCTGACATCCTCGCCAAGGAGGGAATTAAGGCCGAGGTCATCAACCTTCGTAGCATACGCCCTCTCGACATTGATACCATCAAGAGCTCTGTCAAGAAGACCAACAGGTATAACTTTCCATGTCTTTCCCTAGTTCCTGCTCACATATTCCTCAGGCTCCTGATTGTTGAGGGTGGATTCCCTGCCTTTGGTGTTGGCAGTGAAATTTGCGCTCAGATTGTAGAGAGCGAGGCCTTCGACTATCTTGACGCACCTGTTGAGCGCGTCACTGGTGCTGATGTCCCAACACCTGTAAGTTTTTACTCCGTCGATTTCGGAAAAGCACCGACTAATTACTAAAATAGTACGCAACGAACCTTGAGAATTTGTCATTCCCCGATACACCTCTGATTGTCAAGGTCGCAAAACGTGCACTTTACCGTACCAACTAATTTACTTTAGGTGGCAGCTGGTTACGGGGTGGTATTTTATAGATACTTTGTTGCGCTTACTCACACTTTTAGACCCTCTGATTATAATAAACACTTCATATACCACACCTAGATCCTCATGTCCTACGACTAATGTTGATGTTGTTTCATTGAGGTGCACTCAGACGAATACGAACAGCGTTTGCGTGGGCCTGGAGTCCTTCACAATCCGCGAGGGTAGCAACGATGGGTCCTAAACCGCCGAGGCCAGATGCTGTGATCTCTTGTGAAGTAATGTGCTTTTGGTATGATAGCGTGTTCACACCACTGAACTGCCTGGCATAGCCATTAGTGGGCAGAGTGTGGTTCGTCCCAGAGGCGTAGTCGCCACAGCTTTCAAAAATTCAGTTCACGTAACATCAGCTTATAAGGAGAGATAAATACCTCTCTGGGGTATATGGACCGACGAAGACGCTTCCAGCATTTTGAATTAAGGGCACTCTGTCCCTCGCGTTTTCAAGGTGGAGAATGAGATGCTCAGGAGCATAGTCGTTTGAGAAAGCGATTGCTTCCTCAACGCCTGACACCTTGACAATGATACTCTTCGAAATGGATTGGCGAACAATATCGACACGCTCCAGAGCACGAGCCTGTTGATCGATTTCTTGCTCGATCGAAGCCAAATGATCCGCGGTGGGGTTGACAGCAACAAGGACGACCTGCGAGTCGATTCCGTGTTCCGCCTGAGACAGGAGGTCTGCTGCTACGAAAGCAGGGTTGGCGGTGTGGTCAGCAATTACCTGCAACAATTCGCCTCGTTAGTGATTTTGATCATTCCCATCTTGATTGACTGGACTGAGGGATGAAATAAACTTACCAAAACTTCGGACGGACCTGCAGGCATGTCAATAGACACGAGCGCATCGGTGTCGTTTTGAACCAGCATTTTCGCTGCGGTGACCCATTGGTTTCCAGGTCCAAAGATCTTGTCGACCTTTGGTACGGTTTCAGTGCCATACGCCATTGCAGCCACGGCTTGCGCACCGCCTGCCTTCAGGATGGCCGAGGCACCAACCAACTTGGCAACGTACATGACTTCTGGAGAAATGCTGCCATCAGGGCGAGGTGGGGTGGCCAACACGATTTCTGTGCACCCGGCGACTTGGGCAGGTATGCCAAGCATCAGGGCAGTCGAAGGGAGAATGGCAGTTCCTCCAGGAACGTAAAGACCAACACGAGCGATTGGTCGGGCGAAGCGTGAACAAACGACACCAGGCATCGTTTCGACCACAAGCGCAGACCCATCGACCTGCGCTTCATGGAATTTGCGAATGTTCGCGTAAGCAACGTCAATCGCCTTGCGGACCTCCTCATCAATCTGCATCATTTCCGGAGTGAAAGGTGGGAAGGTGACAGTCGATGCAAGCCGGACTTTGTCAAATCTGGCAGTCAATTCAAGGAGAGCTTTGTCTCCCCCCTGGCGAACCTGATCGACAATAGGCTTGACCTTGTTGATCATCTCATCTGATTTGAGAACCGGTCTGCGGAGGAGCTGAACCCGCTCTTCGGTAGTCACAGTAGCCAGATCGGAGGTGCGCAGTCGAATAGGACCGTCTGCAGGAATGGGAGCAGGTGTAGAGATCTTGGGACCGGTTGGCGCTTGTTTCGACCACTGGGGTTTGGCATTTCCTGGGCGGCGGGAAGTTTTCTTTGCTTTCCTGTCAAGTGAACGCTCGATGTCAGCGATGCTGACGCCCGCAGCGACGCACTTCGTCAAGGCGAAATAGATTAAGTCTGCTGCTTCGAACGCAACCTCCTCTGGGCTGGTCGCGCTGCAGAGCTCATCTGCCTCTTCCATTATTTTCGACCGAAGTAACTCCGGATCTTCGAATAGACGTTTGGTATAGGAGCCTTCTGGGGCGCTTTCTAGGCGAGATTTGAGTGTATTTTCGAGTGCAGTTAGACCGCTCGCAGGACCGAAACATGATAGACGATTGAGATGGCAGAATCCAGCTCCGTGCTGAACCACACGATACTCCAGGCAGTCAGAGTCGCAGTCGAGGCGAATGCTGATAATATCCTGAGTAGCGCCGGAGGTTTCACCCTTGCGCCAAAGGCCGTGTTTCCGAGATTGGTAAACTCCTTTTCCAGAAACGATGCTCTCTCGTACCGACTCAACAGAGGAGTAAACCAGTCCGAGAGCTTGACCAGATTGGTTCGAGACGACAGTAGGAAAGAGGCTATCCTTTCTGTCGGAGGTAACGATGGAAAGGAAGGCGTCAGCGATATTTATTTGAGTTGTGGAGGTCGGTTGTGAGGTAAGATCTGAACTGGGAATAATGAGGGTTGCACCTGCTCTTGAAATTTCACGAACGGTGTGGATCGAAGGGGGGACGGGTGGATCGGGAAGGACATAGATCGATGAGTTGGAGAAGAAGCTAGATACGGATGAAATGAGGTCGATGTCCACAGTGGGCGTCTTCAGTACCACTCCCGATACACCGTTCCTAATCTTGTCTGATACTGCACTAACACTCCCAACGTCGAGAAGGAGGATGAGTCGTTCAGCAGGCACAGTGTTGATCACTGTCATTGCCGAAGAAAGTGGAATTATGACTTTTTCTACACCAGCGTCGAGCCAGTCTGCGACTTGAGCCGACGTGACGGGGGCTTGCTGGTCCACCAGATATATGGTGTGATCAGGGGTGGGCAGAAAGCTCGACTGGTGGGCATGAACGATAATAGGTCCAAGGCGGTTCAATGCGTCGAACAACGCGTCGCCGTTCTGGTCCAACAGGGGCAGGAAGGCCGACATTGTCACCGGAAATTTGAGAAAGCTACAGGATCAGTCATTTCCTTCAAGATAATGATCGTGTCATGATTGGTCGATTGCCAAACCGAGCGGGCAAAATCACTGTGCTGGCTCTGTAGTGTAGTGGTTATCACCCAAGATTCTGATTCTTGATTTCTTGAAACCCAGGTTCGAATCCTGGCAGGGCCTAGATTCGATAAGTTCTTTTGTTGCCATGAACCATGTGTAATGTCGACGTTTTAGGAGCCGATTTTGTTCATGTTTCTCTACCGCATATGTTTTTGGGGGATAGATATCCCATACTTTCGCATATTTTAAGGTTCGGGGGGGGGGAGGTAATACAGGATGATATAGTGAACAATGTAATGTACAAGGTTTTGAAACTCTCGACAATAAAGAAATGTTAAGAAAGAATTCACTGCCGGATCCAATTTAGTATACTGTCGCATCACTTATATGTTCACAAGACACCCACTGAGAAATACATGAGACTCTCGACGTTCTTGTGTAACGGCTTGAACGCTGCCTTATGTGATTCGATGTCCTTATCTGCTTTGTCCGCCAAGCTGATGTCCGCCTCGGGAACACGGGCGTAAGGATCATAGTGGTTCTTGGCGCGCGAGCAGACGATATCGGCATCTGCACACCTGTTGTCAGCATATGATTCTCATGCGAGGATAATCCTACAGCTCACAGTAGACAGGGGCGGGGATAGAGACAGCTCTGGTCGCACGAGCGTAAGTGTAGCACAAGTGATATGTAAACCGTTGGAGGGTATCGGCGCTGGTGAATTCCATTAGATCGTTTCTTGCTCGGGTGGGTCATGTACCATGTTGCATACCTGAATTTGTTATCCTGAAAAAGATCAATGCATTTAGCAAACACTGAAAGAGCAGCTGAACGTGATGTATACATACATCATAAAGAACCTTTCAGTTACAGCTTAGTAAATAGTCGCCTCGAAACCAAGAACAAGAGGCTCACAGAGTAATGCGAAGGACGACTAGTTCCAAGGATGCCGGTATGGCTTTGAAGATAGAAATCGAATTCGACTGGGTGACCGACCTCCTCATCTACAACAGTACCTGGAGGGCAATTACCCTTGATAGCATCTGGGTCATTCGGCCTTGGGAAAAAGCTGAAGAAAGTTTAGTGCCGGTATGACACACGGAGGTAAGGATCAGGCGCACCGGACATGGTGGCGTTTTGCAACAACGACCAGGGTAATCTTAGCATTGATTTTGACTTCTTGGAGGGCATCTGTCCCAAAGGTCATAGGAGCACAGGAGCGGGCAATGTAAATGATATACCTTTGAGGGCGGCCAGCTCTGGGTAGATCCATATTGAGATATCTTGGGTACATCCTAGTGCATTTTAGTACTCACCTTCTTCCAGGACCTTCGGGAACTGACCCTCGGAAACACCGTCTAGGGATCTGGTCAGAAACAAAATTTCACCGAAAAAAATGAGAAATAACTCACCTCGATAGAATATCAAACGGACAACCTTCTTCCTATCACCTTCCTTTCTGTTATCCTGCCACTTCTTCAGAATTTCCTGTGTTGCCCATCCATTCGTCAATATTGCCCAAAAAAATTGCGATATACCCACAATTGCCATTTCTTTCAAGTCATGAATTATTTCGACGCGAGAGTCTTGGATCCGAGTTGCTGCGGGTGAGCCCCACGCTCATGAGGACGTCATATCAGACGAAGCAGAAACACGAACTCACATGCAACGAATTTCGCTATATTACAGTCAATATTCCCAACCAGTGCAGTGTAAGAAGGTCGACCGGTTGCTCCAGGTGCAGGATGGATGGCGTCGGCACCTGGGTTGGAAGGTGTGAACAGGACACATTTCGCAAGAATGGCGCGGGTGCTTACCCATGACGATAGTAGGGTTCAACGGATCGGCGATTGTGTTTGGTGCGCCCGGACTAAGGATCGTGTTGATGCCTCCCAGTTTAACATTGATTCTACCCGGATAACTTAGTATGGCGCTTTGTAGGCCCCGAACATCCCACTTACTTAAGGCCGACGTTGGAGTAATACTGAATGGTTCCGGAAGGCGGCTTGCATGGAGCTCGTAGGCTATACGAACGGGGGTTTTCAACTTTGCATTTTGACGATTTCATGCATTGGGTCACGATACCCGTCTGCAACAGGAGCATAAGCCCAACATGTGGCAACAAGAGTTAAAAAATGAATATCACATACATGAACGTCCCCGAAACTACAAGAGAATCATGGCGTAAGCAACCTCGTGACCCCAGATCGTATGACTTACTGTTTAACAGCGGTATAGAGATCGTTCCCTAACTCCGGCAAAATAACAATGATGAGTTGGGGGGGCATGTTGGTCTTGGCCCGAACTTTCTCGACGAGCTCCTCGAGCTGCTTGATAATGTTTCCCTGAGGCTGTCCTAACCTTCGAACGGGAGGTTCTGCGGGCATTGCAACACCTACAGACATCGTCAGAGAGGTCGTAGGGAATCCGCATCGCCTTACCAAGGCCAATAAGGACAGAACGCAGGACGATGAAGCAAGCGTTAGCGTCATCCAACGAGAACCTTTCTTCGCCTTCCAGTACGAATAGAGCCACGGGCGCGATCTTCGCAATAGGAGCATAGAACTTTTTCTTATCCCTGTCAATTCATGGATCCGTGAAGAATACCTATCAGATGTAAATAAACTTACATGTTCCATGCACCTTTGCTTGGAACCTGTAACGTTGTCATGAGACAGGGCCGCGCTGCATGCCGGGAAAGAGCTTACAAAGGCCTTTGAAGTGATGTTGCCCTTTCTGTCCATCTCTTTCGCAGTAAGGGCTGGTGCCTCTAAAACCCTTGCGTTAATAGAGATGGGACCATCTGGTGTTGGACTGAGCCCAAATTGCCTAACGTAAACTGATGTGGCGTATCCAAGTTTCTGCAATAATACCCGTTCAGCGGGGACGCGACCAGGGGAACAATTAAACACGTGCTGCAGGTGCCTCCGTAATCTTGCGGATCCGTTGAGATGGTGGCTTTGAAGCGAAAGCGACCATATCTCGGGCACACTCGGGAGGGACCTGTTGTCGTGTAAGCTGTCCCTTGATCACGGTGCATAGTTCCAAGGGAACCAAAGCCCCGTTTCCGACCTGGGTAAGTAAATCACAGTCAGTAAGCTGAGGTCAGGGGGCTGCAAAACTTCGTACCTCTGCACAGATCATGTCGGGATATTGCAAGGGTCGTCCCAGAATTTCATGGTAATATTGGGCCACCGACTTCGTTTCGCCATTATGAGTGAACTCCAAGCTACTCGCTCCGTGGCTACTAAACTTTCGAAGTACACGAGTGACATTGTTCCCGGATCCCAAGCCTGATCGAGTCATAATGCGAAGTCCATGGGCGAATCGCTGCAATTTGAGGCGGTCACGGTCTTGGAGAGAGCCCCCCAAATCATTAGGTATAAGGGCGCGAGGGTTGTCATGTCTCTTGAGATGACTCTGGCAGAAGCGGACAAGAGGTCCCCCCTCGAACACGACTCCCGTTGCAATGTCGATATTGATTAGCACGCCTTTCTTGATAGGGCGAATGGACTGAAAGTAGCCTTGCCAGAGCCGTAGGCCATTCCGTAAATCGCCTGTTCTCTCGTCTTGATCATCCTCGATAAAGAAGGATCGGGCGTTGTAGGTGTACTGTATGGACGGTTGCATGCGCACGACCACGTTCATGGCCTGAATTGGATATTAGGGCTGGTATATGCGCACTACAACAAGATACTCACAGTGATGGCCGTTGTCGCAGCACTGTCGTATGATTGCTTGCCCTCAATAAATCGCTGAAGAACCCTGAGGGGGGGAGGTCACTTCACGGATAGGCACCAACAAGTTAAGACGAACTCTGGATTAATTTCTGCCACCTTTGTGAGCTTGATTTTGTAGACCTTGGGCTGCTTGCTTCCAGTAGGAAACCCGCTCGCCCTCGGGTAGGTAACATGAAACTGCGATCATTTATTATAAGTAAAAACGCGTGGAAGGCTGGGCTCTGGCATACCTCCTTCGAGTTCACATCATCGAATGGCAGTTGGACAATGGCGAACATATTTTTACGACCGTCGTATACGGCGGGGGACTTGAAAACGTCCGGAGCAGTGTACGTCTGCAGCTCTTGGATTAGGAGCATGTTCAGCCGGGCGGGCAACTTCTTTTCATCGGGTGTAATAACTTGTGATAATCAGGAACCGCATACACCAACAGACATATGAACGTACCAACTGAAAGACAATATTAGCACATGAATCAAACGCATATAAGAGGTTACGAACCATCATAGTGGTGAATGACACGGTCTGGAATTGTAGTACGGAAGTAGTTGGCTGTGATCTTGATGTGTTTACCAGCAACGCCAAAGCCAGGTCGCTTTACACCAACAGTGATTACATGAGACTCATGCTCTGCACTGTGCTGGATAGGCGTTCCACGACCGCGACCACGTTTGGCTTGCGGGGTAACAGGAGGGTTTCGAACGCCCCCTCGACCAAGGAAGGGACGGGACATGTCTGGTATTAATCACCGAAGGGCGGCTGAGGGGAAACAAGAGAATGAGATATGAAAATTGGCGAGTGGCTTGTATTTATCTCTATGAAAGAGAGACTCAATGTTTCCTGATTTAGATATAAGAAGTTGATTGATTGTGAACGAATTTGGAAGGACAGGGACCAAAGTTAAACGTGACATTACCCAGCAAAGTCGATAGCTCCAAGTGACCGAGGCAGAATTCATTACGCCCGCCTCACCGACCCTTCACTCCCGCACTGCGGGCCAAACGCTGGTAAACGAAGGGACGAGGCATCAAAAAAGTTTATCAAAGGAATACTCTGGAAAACCCTCCTCATTCCCTTGGGAACTGTGCATATCGACAGGGGTTCGTCACTGCCTCGGCTCATGGCTTCTCGTGTTCACGATCTCTGTGCTTGATCAATGATTCTGCATCGTGGGTTGTCAGCGCTCCGCGTTTCTCGTCTTCCGGTGGGCTGCTCGGCACCACGGCCCCATATCTAGACAGTGCACCACCAGAACGCTGCCAGACCTTTGGATGAATACTGCGCTTTGTTGTACTGCCCCACAGCACGGCGTGTTCCTCAATCGGGAACGATCCATTATTGAATCATAACGAGGCGTGGCTACAACGTGCCTCCATACTA